TTTTTGCTGGAAGTATGGAGTACATGTCTTTGATCTGTTGAGAAGGTTCTGTTCTACTTCTAGTCTCCTGAAAGCTTTTACCATAAACAGCTGTAGAATTTATTCTAATACTTTTTCTGGAACTAATGACAGGATCATATGGCTTTTTCCTTTCCTCTGTTAAAATGATGACATATGGGGGTGGATCTTCCAATGCTGAACCAACACTGCCATCCCTATAACAAAACCACTTTCTACATACTGCCAGATCTGACTTTTAATAGTTTGTTTTGTTAAACAAATTTTTAATCTATGTTCATACTTTTTTCTTCTATTATCTTTATCCAGTTTTAGTATCAGCACAATGTTGATTTCCTAAAATGAGGGGAGAAATGTTCCTTCTTTTTTCTGCTTTGAATGTTTGATATAATTCATCAGTTAAAATGTATCTGAGCTTGTTGTTGTCATATAGGTAGGTTTTCAAGCTAGGAATATACTTTCTTTAATAGGTTCTATTCAAGTTTTATATTTCCTCCGGAGTCAGTTTCATTAACTTGTTCTCCAAGGTACGTCTTAGAAGTTGTCAAATTTATTTCAAAAAAGATTTTTGTAATTTGCTTTCTTTTTTTTAAATGTATAACTTTATTATCATTCACTAAACACACACATATATAAAAATTAAAATCATTCAAAGAAAAGCAATGCAAGGGAAAAAAACTATAATAATATTCAAATATAATAGAACTCAACCAAAGCAAAGTTGAAAAGCACTTAAACATTTTTCTATATAATTTTAAAAAACATCTCAAGCATTAACAAGACATCAAAGGATGTGATTTGCTTTAGAAAGATTTCCAAAACTAATATTGAACAAATAGTGGTCTGGAAAACAATTCTAATTAGCTAGTAGACTCCACATAGGCCAAAATTTTTTAAATTTAAATTTCAATACAGTCATGTGACACTTGATGGAAATATAATCTAAGAAATATGTTATTAGGCAATTTCATCCGTGTGTATGGCAAAGTACCACACAGAGTGCCAACTTCTAAGTGCAAACTGAAAAGGTATATGTCAATCATCTGTGATGGCCCCTTGATATTATCCAAATATGCAGTTAAAACACAAGATACGTGAGG